TCTTTGTGGTTCGGGCGTGTGGGGCTGTGCCGCTCTCTGTGGCTGTGGCTGTCTGGCTCTCGCTCGTGCTCTGTGGCTGTGTGTGGTTGTGTGGCTCTCGCTCTGGGGCTGTCTCTGTCTGTGTCCCCCCCTCTCCCTGATTCTCCCTTGCTCTGTCTCTTTTTCTGGCACCCCCTCCCCTTTCTCTCCCTCCCCCTCTGTCCCCCCTTCTCTCTTGTCTCTCTGTCTCTCTCTCTGTCTGTCATGTGAATGTGTCTTTCATTGCCCCAAATGTTGGGATAAAATTAGGTAGAGCCAAATTATATTATCTGAGTGTGTCTAAAAGTCTGGTTTAATCTATAAAAGTAATGTTCAAATGACAGACATGCTTATGAAGAAATTTAAAAATATCTTCAGTTGCATATTTTCAACTGAGTTGTACCAAATTTATGGCAGTCTAGGTTATTTGGTGTTTTTAGGTTATCTAAGTATGGATGAATTTTTCAGGTCTTGTAGTACAGCCTTTCATTGTATTTTTGGCTTCTGTGTTTCATAAATACAGTTTAAAATACTAGAAGACTTCTCAACTGTTTTTCTTGTATAAAGGTCACTACTATAGTTTTCAAAAACACTGTATGCAGTAGAAAACAGCATTTTTGCAGATTTCATAGCAGCTGTTAGAAAAGAAATCTTGTTTTTTAAGAACCATACCTCAGTGTTAGATTTTTTTAAAATGTAAACTGTAGGCAAAAAAAAATGTAGATTGTGTAGACTAGGAATATTTTCTTAAGGACACTAGTGATTCTGAAATGAAATGTATATATAAAGCAAGCTTTTCTTATCTACTTCATTAGAAAAATGAAGCATTGTGGTCACAAATCTTTACTTGAGTCCAGATTTCTGTTTTGATATGATTTAGCTGTTCATCCTTAAAACAAAGGACTCTATCATGAATAGTTAAAAAGTTAATGTAAAACAGGTGCTAAGAATTCTTATTTTTTTTTTCCAAGGCTGCTTTTTAGTATAAAGATGATTTTAATCCATATGAAATGGGGTTTAGGAATATGTAGTTTTAAGAGGGTTCATCAATTTCTTTTCTTCTTTAGGACTGGAAAGAGAAGTATGCATCCTATTCTCAAACTTCTCTTAAGTTAGTGTTTAAATGTGAGAGAATATGAAAGGTGACCAAGCTGTGAAACAGCAGGAGATTATTTATTAGACTTTCAATAGAATTTCATCTCTGTTAACTTAAAGCAGCTTAAACCATGACTATACTTTACATAGGTGCATTGATTATTTTTTAAGTCAGGTTTTTGGTGGCATTTTCTAGAGTTCTGCTGGCATGGTACATTGATAGATGAATAAATACAAAAACATCACCAATCCTCATTTTGTTCAGTATCATTAGTTACACTGAGGGGGTTGAAGATAAAACATGAAGAATGTGATTCTAGTATGAAAGTGGGAGATGAATTATCTTTTCAATACTGAAAATACTTCATTCTTTTTGTGATAGTGAATCATGTATATTCATGTTGTGAATTCATGTTGTGATAGTGAATCATGTATATTCATTGTTAATCTGCAGGACTCGCCTAGTAGCGAAGATTCTGCAGATGACTCATCCAGTGAGATCAAGAAGAAAAAACATAAAGAGTAAGATATTTTCATAAATAATGTCCCATCATATTTCGTCATGGTGGTATATGCTTATAATTATCCATGTTTCCTTTCTCCACCCTGGAAATACTTAAATTCCCATGTTAATTAATCTTTATCTTGCACTCCTCAGTCTTGATTGATGCTTTGGAATATTTTAAAAAAATAAAATAAATCAAAGGAGCATAAATCTCTTGTCTTTGAGCAGAAGAGCCTGTATTACCTACAGTGTTACTCAAAAACATTTATCAGCACTTTCATGTCAACATATCCTTAGGGGTGGCATATTTTTGTGCTGCTTCCAAAAAATCATTGAAGAAATAGGATGCTACTGCAGCAGGCTGCCTCAGATCAAATTTAAGTTGCGTTGCCCCATCCCCTTTGTTTCCCCCCCCCCCCCCGAACTGTTTAGAAGGTATTGCATGTCTGACAGTAATTAACTTTATTGACTAGTCAAGGAAGCTTAATTGAAATTGAGCTGTTGTTAAGCTCTAGAACAAGAAGTTTGTGAAAAGGATTATGCTTTGTCATCATGACAATGAAAGCAGAAGACTGACCTGTGTTTTTATGAATGATGTATAGCATTTTCAACTGCACTCGTACCTTTTCTCCCAGTTAATATGTCATCTTAATACTCAGAGTTGACAATACAGTATCATTGAGAAGTGTTAATGGAAGGATAAGTGCAAAAAAGGTTAACTGTGCAAAATGGTGCTTCTCTAGTGGTAAGAGTTATTTGCATTCCTGTATGTTATTTACATTCCTGTGCAGTGGGGGGTGGGGGGAGTAAGAATTTATTGGCACCTAGTAACATACTCTGCTACAGGAAAGACACTTAAGTTCAGAAGTTAGCAACTAAATAAACTCGTACATCCAGTGCTTGATTTTGTTTTGACTCTTTTGAACAAGTATGTTTGCAGTTGTTGTCTGATACATAGATGAGAGTTTTCTTGTTCTATAATGTGGCACAGGATCAAGCCATAGAAGATCATATATTACGTCTATTATCTATATGACCAAATAAATGCAGGTTGAGAATTTGCATTCTTTAACTTACTGCATGCAGAAGAAGTCTTTTAATAAGACCAACCATGCTGTAGCATTGGTCATTGCACATGTGTGTGTCTTGGAACAATGAAAAATAAAATTTATTCCAGGACCTGTACCTGTTTAAGTGTGTATGCACTGGGGGGTGGGGGACAGGGGAAGAATGTCACAGCATGGATTCCTAGGCTTCCTGATTGAAACGTAATGAAGTCCTTGAGTGATAATCCACTTCTGAAGAACATGAGGACCGTTCTGGGGCCTTGGTCAAGGAGCCCTAAACGTGATGACAAGTGATAGCGTAAATATTTAACAACCTTTGAAGAATGCGTGCCAGGCTTCCCCCCACGCTGCTTCGGTCACAGTGCTGTTAAGGTGAAATTTCCTGTACAAACTCAGAACCTAAAACGAGGTGCTTTTCAGTGGTGACTCCATCTTTCCTTTTGCAAATAGAAGCTCCCAGCTAAGCAGGAGGTGCTGCCTCTCAAGAGTCACACACTGTTTACTTGTAGTATCTCGCCTGCTTGTCAGATTTGAGAACTCAGTGGGAACTTTTGGGAGTAAATGCTTCTCTGATTGCTGTGGTTCTGGTCTTTCTGTGCCCTTCTCAAATGTGCTTCTGTGTTATTTTTGGTTCCTGTGGCCAAGTTGCCAGTGCTTCACGTGAGGCGCAGGGGAATGTAGCTATTGGGGAATACTGGACTCTCCAGAATATAACGTTTAGTGTTCGATTTGATCATGGGTAAGCTGCAGCCTTGTCTCTACATGTTACCTGTCTTCTATAATTTCTATAGAAACTGAGATTTTGTTTAGGATTTTTCTTTTTAAAGCTACCTTTTGATAATAGAAAAATTATTGGCTCCAAATAGAGGTGAATTAGGTATTTTTAGTTGTTTATGTTCATGATAATTTTCTGTCCTTTCAGTAGATGTTGCAATAAATGTTAGGGGATTAGCAAATGCACTACTTTATTAAAAAAAAAAAAAAAAAACACATCATGAGTTACTTTTTTTTAATTTTTCAATATGTACAGTGAAGACTGGCAAATGTCTGGATCGGGGTCAGTATCACGAACTGGCTCCGATTCTGAATCAGAGGAAGATGGGGAGAAAAGCAGTTGTGAAGAAAGTGAATCTGACTATGAGCCAAAAAACAAAGTCAAAAGCCGGAAACCTCCAAGCAGGTAGGAGGTCTTACATTTTTGATACTCTCGACCTATTTCTGATTAATAATTTGAACTTTGTACTACTACACATGCAAATGAAAACATGTATATTGCAGAAATTGAAAACTTTTTTAGTTACAAAGCATGTCATCCTACCAGTGCACTGTAGCGAATGTCTCTTTCCTGTGGGCTGTCACTGAAAGTGACATAACTGAACAGCCATGAAATATGCATGTTCAGAAACAAATACAGATGTTTTGTGGCTTTCCATGTTGAAACCCCCTTGTTTTGTCATATCTTATTGTCTTAAGAATTAAGCCAAAAAGCGGCAAAAAGAGTGCAGGGCAGAGAAAGAGACACCTTGATTCATCAGATGATGATGACGACGAGGATGATTATGATAAGAGAGGGTCTCGTCGCCAGGCAACAGTCAATGTTAGTTACAAAGAAGCTGAAGAAACTAAGACAGATTCTGATGATCTGCTGGAAGTCTGTGGAGAAGATGTCCCACAACCTGAAGAAGATGAATTTGAAACTATAGAAAAGTTCATGGATAGTCGATTTGGCCGAAAAGGAGGTGGGTGGGTGGGTGTGGGTGTGTGTATATATATTATTTTTTTAATCTATGTTGTTAAGATGCTGACGTAAGTTTTGGTACAGATTCAGCAGTTGTTCTCAGCTCTAGATCACCTGTGATATTTGCAAACAATAAGTTTAAAAATACCAGTAAGTCATGTTGTATTGCTTTTCTCATGCTGATAAGAAGACTGTTTTTTAAAACCCCTTTTCAAGCCTTTTGCAGTAAAGCACAGAACTTGCATAACTGAATAATACGAAAAGAAGTTAGATAGCTCTATATTGCATAAATGCACACCATGTCATAACAGTGCTTCTATTTTCTAATGCCTGATAGGTATAAATTGTATACATTGGGAAGGGAGAAGGTGGACTGGATAGGACAGCTCACCAGCTAAACCCTGAGCATTGAGAGATGGTGTCAGGAAGGCTGAAGCATTTGAATTGTGGTTTCAGTTATTCTTGTGCAAATTGTCTACATTTGTTACAAGAAATGATGGAAAGGCTATAAAGTATGTCTAATACTTAGTGGTGTGTTTGCATGTGTGTTTTTCTGTGAATGATGGTATGAGTGTCTTATTTCCAGCAGTGACGGTTGCAGTTCATTTTGTGTTCTAGCCTGCAAATTAGTGTTGTAACTATAGGAAATTCAGTACCCTTACACTTCAGAGCTACTTTTTTTCCGTTAATTTTAACCAATCTCTAGAGTTTCTGACCCATCTCGGAGCTTGCCTTGTCTTTTCTTGACTTTCTTCTCCTTGTATGCTATCCTGAATTCCAGTCTATTCTAAAGCCTCCAACTTGTGGGCACAGTGTGACCACTGTGTTGAAAACCTTTTGGACTAGGCTTGTTATATTTGATTCTCTAGATGCTGTTGCTGTTCTTGTCCTTTGTTGTTGTCACTCTGTGTTGCTGTATCAGTCCCCTGCTGCTGATTGCGTCCTGGATATCCTCACAGAAATGAGCCTGCTCCCTGATGCTTGTAGGCTTCAGCTGGGATGCAGTCTGTGCTTAATTAAAAATTTCCTCAGATAAGATTCTAAGGGCAGTAGGAAAAAATAGTAGAAAAACATGCCTAGGAAGAAATAGATTTATAGCATCCCTAATAGCAGCTTATTGACATCTCGGGGCTGACCAAGCATGAAGTCTAATTCACATTCAGAGATGAGAAGGATATGGTGGGGAAGACAGCAAGTAATGTTAATGGAGCATTCTCTGGGGATCACTAGAGATACTGGGAATACTAAGAAAATTCTGTTAAGAAAAGATGAGATTTTTACAAGTTAGATGCATGGGATTATTGGTTACAGATATGTTAACACATGCACCAGAAGTCAAAAGAAAAATCAAAAAAGTAACTACGTGAGAGCTGTGATCCAATTCATTTGAAAGCATCCCTGATTGCTTTCTATAGCACTTTTCTTTTTGCTTGATTGATGACAGTGCACGTTAATTAAGGTTTATGATTTGCTTTCCTTTTCAGCCACTGGTGCTGCAACCACCATCTATGCAGTTGAGGCAGATGGTGATCCAAATGGTGGGTTTGAAAAATCTCAGGAGCCAGGCGAAGTACAATATCTTATTAAATGGAAAGGCTGGTCCCACATCCATAATACGTGGGAAACTGAGGAAACCCTGAAGCAACAAAATGTTAAAGGAATGAAGAAGCTGGACAATTATAAGAAAAAGGATCAGGAAACAAAACGATGGTGAATATTTTATTTTTTACTTCCATGTTACATGCTTTTATAACAATATAGATGTGTTTTGTGGTTCTCTGAGACCTCTTTGTGAGGGCATGATTTGAAGTGTCTATGCAACAAGAACACAAAAAAAGTGAGATCTCCCTAAATCTTTGCAATCTTGTAAGGTTCTGAGCATGCCAACCTTTTGGTCGAGTATGTGAGAATACTCGCGCATCATGTAAAACTGGATCTTTAAGTAAGCAGCTGCTTCTCCCAAATGTTAGTGTCTGTTACAGAAGTTTGTACAAGATGAATGTAAATGAAATGTAAAAGAAAAAGGAAAAAAAAAAGTCTTAGTTCTTTTACTAGTTTTAAAGTTATATATTTTGATCAGAGCTCTTAAGGAGTCAATGCAGATATTATTTTGCTAAGTATTTAGTTTTCTTGGCTCAGACTTCTCTCAAAGCCTTAGCGCCAACAGCTGAAGAAATATGTGCATTTTAATGCCACACTTGATGTTCCATTTTATTGGTATTTTAATATCACCTGTGAACACTGGTGGCATTTTTAGGGAACTTTTTGTAAGATGCATTCTTGTCGAGTGAGCGCTCCCTGAAGGCTTTGTGGAAGTGTCCTGTGAGATATGCTGCTTGCTGTTGCCCATAGATGTTCTGATTTATCTTCATGCCTAGTACAAACTGTGGTGTCTCTTGATATGCTTTCTCAGTCACTAGAGATGAGGTATCTAAGTCAGATGGAACACTTTTATAGCAGGAATTTCTGAGTTGTAGACACTTCAAAGCAGCTCTCTAAGAAGCATTCCTGTGATGCTTATGTTCAGAGCTTTAGAGTTGCCAAATTTTCTTAGTTTTAGAACTAGACAATGTAATAAGCACTGTAAATAAATTCCCATTTCAGGCTGAAAAATGCTTCTCCAGAAGACGTGGAATATTATAACTGCCAGCAGGAACTTACAGATGATCTACATAAACAATATCAAATAGTGGAAAGAATAATTGGTATGTGACAAACTCGCAGACAGAAAATAGTGTTGAGAATATTACATGGCTATTACTTGTATAATGCACTTGTAGTTAAGAGTATTGATTTGACTAGCATTTTAATGCAAAACAAACCTTTCGATTAAAAAAAATTGCCCTACTTGTGAAAATAGTTTGTCTTATTTAAAATTAATGGTTTTTTTTAAATACATAAGATAAATACTGATCTCTCTGATGCATTTCTGCAGCTCATTCAAATCAGAAATCAGCAGCTGGTTATCCAGATTACTATTGCAAATGGCAGGGTCTGCCTTACTCAGAATGTAGCTGGGAAGATGGTGCTCTCATTGGTAAAAAATTTCAGGCATGTATTGATGAGTATTTTAGCAGAAATCAATCCAAGACCACTCCCTTTAAGGACTGCAAGGTGAGTGCATGATTGCAATGGGTTTATAATCAATTATGATAGTAGAATTGTATTTAATGCACCCAGAAATAATGTGCATATTATATATTTTGTATGTTGCTCAGAATAATATTAATGAGGTATGTACTTGTATGTGTGGGGAGAGAGACTGCTGAGAATAGTTTTTTTGTAAATGTTTCTGCCTTACTCCATCTACGCATGCCAGTAAAAAACGTTTTGTTTCATTTGTTTTAGAAGTAACCTTTGTGAATGTGCTAATGTCTTTACTGTCATGGAATTTAGCAATCAAACTAATTTCAGGTGTTGCTGTACGGCCTAGTTGGGTAAAGACTAAACACAGTTATCCAACAGATTTCTGCTACTTGGGTTGCTTTTGTAGAAAAGTATTTTCATAATTTCTGTTAGTGTTAGGACTGATGCTCAATCTTCTTTTGACAGGTTCTGAAACAGAGGCCAAGGTTTGTTGCACTAAAGAAGCAACCGTCTTATATTGGAGGGCATGAGAATTTAGAATTAAGAGATTATCAATTAAATGGACTGAACTGGCTTGCTCACTCATGGTGCAAGTAAGTATAGTCTGAAATGAATTTTTCTGTTTGCAAATTGTAAGATTATATGTTAAAAGAAAAAGTGAACCTCTGAAAGATGCATATGAGTTTTATAATTTTAAAGTAGACATGCAAGGAATAGCACAAGCTTTTTGTTAAACATAGCTGAAAAATAGGTAGTATGCTAAAAAGTGGTATTTGATTTTTTTGAAATTGATTATATCTGTAACTAAACAAACTTCAAGATTTACAGTTGCAAAATCTAGATTTAAGAGCTTTTTTTTAATGTTCAAAAAATAATCTTGTTCATTTTGCTTTCTCCCCCCCTCCCCTTTTTCTTCCCCCCTTCCCCCTCAGAGGAAATAGTTGTATTCTTGCAGATGAAATGGGTCTAGGTAAAACAATACAAACAATTTCTTTTCTGAACTACCTGTTTCATGAACATCAACTGTATGGACCTTTCTTGCTGGTTGTGCCTCTTTCTACCTTGACATCTTGGCAAAGAGAGATTCAGACTTGGGCTCCTCAGATGAATGCTGTAGTTTACTTAGGAGATATAACTAGCAGAAATATGGTGAGTATTTGTATCATTGAAAAAGATCAGCGGTGAACAAGGTTAATTTCATGGTTTTGTCTTCTGTTTCTTTTCAGTATTTTTGTTCAGGAATGAGCAAATACTCATTAGAAAGCAAAATGAAAGCTTAGATTTTTCATCTGATATAAGCATGTGAAATTTCCTTACTGCTGACTAATAAAAAGGATTAAAAATGCAGATTTGCATTTGAAAATAAATTGTCTTTCACCATGGAATCATTGAGGTGCAAGGCGAGACAACCATGATCTTAATTTGTTTTTGTAAAGGAGTATTCTAAGTAACCTCATCCATTAAAATTAAAAAAAAAAAAGTTTTTCCAAATCTTCTTGCAATTTCTTCATAAGTTTTAAAATAAAAAAAAAAAAAAAAAGTCTTGGGGGGCCTTAGAGCTTGGACTAGCAGTCTTGAATTTGTTAGCGTGCTATGAATTTGCTTGGTGATCAGATTCCTTTGTATTAGTAAACAGTAATGCTGTGGTGCTTGAAATCATCCCAACCAATAAGCCTTTTTCTGTAGCTTACAGTTCACTTAATTCTATTTGTAGATAAGAACTCATGAATGGATGCATTCACAGACCAAGCGATTAAAATTTAATATACTTCTGACAACTTATGAAATCTTGCTGAAGGATAAGGTAATTGCAATCATCTTTTTCAGGGAGATACAGTTACTTGTCCAGTGCAGAACTTTTAGGGATGCATGTATTTGGGTTCTGGATCAACAAATGGGTGGGGAATTTGACAGTTTTGCTTTCAGAAGCAGGACAGTAAAGTTTTCTTCAAGCACTTTTAGATTTTTTTTTTTTTTTTGTACATATAACCAGCTACACAGAAAACATGGACAACGTTCAAAGTTTAGAGGATGAGTAGTTTCCAGAAAACCTTTTTGAACAGAAAAAAAAAAAAAAAAAAAACCTGAGCAACCTTCCACCCTTACATCTGTGATTTAGAACTCTGAAATTCCATGTGTGTTTTTTCCCCTTTGTATAGTTCTCTCTATGATGGTCCCACACAGTTATTTTTAAACCTTCCAGTAATGTATCAAAAATTTTGCAGAAAGCCACTGAGCAGAACATTTTTGTTTCCATGTGCTCTTTCTGGCATGTGAAAATTAATACAGATCAGCTGTTTGATCCTTTTTTTTCTCTTATATTTAATGTGTGCTTTTTTAGGATGCTTCAGGAGTTCAATAACAAAAGTCCAATTCAACAAATTAGGTGCCTAGACCCATAGGTGTCCATATTTTGTTAAAGTGACGGTAATTGTAGCCTGCTATAAAATACCTGAAGCTGCATAAAATGCTTATTAGTATAATGTTTCTCTTCCCGCTCTCTGTTTAAGTCGTTCCTTGGTGGTTTGAATTGGGCATTTATAGGAGTGGATGAAGCTCATCGTCTAAAAAATGGCGATTCCCTTTTGTACAAGACTTTAATAGACTTCAAGTCTAACCATCGTCTTCTTATTACTGGAACTCCTCTGCAAAACTCCCTCAAAGAGCTTTGGTCCTTGCTGCACTTCATCATGCCAGAAAAGTAAGAAAGAGCTTTTTGTGATATGTGATGATATTTTTTTCATAAGTTTCTTACTGTGGAGTATTGTAGCAATTGGGAGAATTGCATAAAATAGTTTAAATATTCTGTATAAAGCAGGTACACGTTTTCAATGCTGCTTTAGATAAATAATTCTGGTAGCAATTGTTTTTGCCTCTTACTTGTTTTTCCTGTTTTACTAGTTCACAAAAAGATGGGATGATGTATGGGTCAGAGTCCTGAAAAGATACTTTGTCCTAGTCTGCAAGATGGGTTTAGTCTGGGGATTTACCAGATGGTTTTACTCTGGGGAAATAGAATGGGATTGAGGATATTTTCTCTGCTTTCCATTAAGGAAAGCACGTTTGTAGCAAGATGCCAAATGAAGATAACCAGTAGTTCAATCCCGTAGCTAGTTTGCTCATGTGGCTTGCTAACATTAGGTTTACTGTACTGACCTTATCTTATAGTAACTTGTCTTTACATCCAGGATAAATGGGAACTCTTGGCACATGTTCTTATCGGATATCTTGTAAATGCAAAGCACCATAGTTTTGGTTAGTTTGGGAGCTATACTTTGCATTGAGGACTTAAGAACTTTACAACCATAACCAATGAAGCTGTTAGCTAGCATGCATTCTTCATCTGACTGCTTGGCTGCTCTCTTAGTCTGGGTAATCATCCTTCAGCTATTTCATGTGTGCTGTGTTCTGTTGCTTCTTGATTGTCACTTCTTCAGGACATTAACAGTACATCACTATGAAAATAGTGATTCTTGTAGTCACTCATTCTCCTCTATCTTGAAGATTTTCTTCCTGGGAAGACTTTGAAGAGGAGCATGGCAAAGGGAGAGAGTTTGGTTATGCAAGTCTCCACAGAGAACTTGAACCATTTCTACTGAGAAGAGTTAAAAAAGATGTAGAAAAGTCTTTACCTGCTAAGGTTGAACAAATTTTGAGGATGGAAATGAGTGCATTGCAGAAGCAATATTACAAGTAAGAAATGACATTATTTAGTTCTTGTGTGTTTGTGGTTTTTTTTTTTTTTTTTTTTTTTTAATATAATGCATCTACCTGCAAATTACTGAGTTTAATAGTTTTTGTGATGCATTCAAGCTTAAGGCAAAACAAGAAAAATTCTGACAAGCATCATTTTATCACAGTGAAATTCCATAAATTCCATTCCATTTGGCTTAATTACATTGACCTAATCTTTGTTCATTTAGCTTCTGTTGTACGGCGTGCTTGTACCTTTTTTCTTTGGAGCTGCATTTTCTCTTTGATTTGCTTCTGTTTTGAAAGCTTACAAGTATCTTAACTTCTAACCTTGTGTAGAATTATTTACACTGTACATTCTATATCATAGGTGGATTTTAACCAGGAATTATAAAGCCCTGAGTAAAGGTTCAAAAGGCAGTACATCAGGCTTTTTGAACATCATGATGGAACTCAAGAAGTGTTGTAACCATTGCTACCTCATTAAACCACCAGATGATAATGAATTCTATAATAAACAGGAGGCCTTACAGGTAATACTACTTTGTTTTTTAATTACATTTTAATTACGTTTTTTAATTACATTTTATACTGTTGAGGCAATTTGTTCCTTCTTACTAAAGTATATTATGAAAGAACAAGATCTCTGAAATGTGAGTTTTACAGGTAAGTCGATTGGTTTCTTATTTCTGAATTAGAACTGAGTATTAGACCATTACTAAAGACAATATCCCTGATTTTAATTGTGATCAAAATAAAAAGGGATTAGTTTGAAATAGGCTATGTATTTTCAGATGAAATAAGCTTATGGCCCATTTAAAAGCAATCTTTTTTAAAAAATAGTAGTTAAACAGATAAATGTAATATGAATGTAAACACACAGGACCAAAACACTTTGTATGCCCGCAAATAGCCAAAGTGGAAGGAAATAAAAGTAACAAACAGCCGAAGCTTATTATGATTTTTGCAGTTATTGTTAGGAGTGAAAACAACTACAGCACCACTACCAAGAATGGGCTCTGTGTGTGTGGCTTCCTCCTCCCCCCCAAACCTATGGGTTAGGTAGTCTTTGCACTAAAACTGTTGAGAACCACTTCAACAGTTAAAACAACTGGTATTATTTGATGCTGTTTATATCAACATAACTATTTCTAAAGTTATTTTTTTCTGAAAGCTTTAAAGTTGGTAATAGTTTTTCTGAAAGTATTGGATTGTGTGGTGCCAGCTTGTGATTTCAAGCTGTTTTATGTTAAAAGTGTTCCTTAAAGCTAAAGGATATTTAACTTGCAACTTGGGGCATACAGGATGACCATCTAAACTGTAATTAAGCTGCCAGAACTGTTCAACTGTTCTTTGCAATAATTGTCTGCTTTTAACAATGACTTCCTCAGCCATCTTAATAAGCTTTGTTACAACAAAATATCCTCCTGCTTTCTGGCATAAAGAATGAAAGTGCCTAACCCAAATTTTTCCCTCCCCAAAATTGTTTCCCAAGCCTTTTCCAAGTTCAAGAAGCCTAAATTTTCAATATTAAATTCCACGTGCCCCAGAGTTTTTTGTTCCAGTTATTCCCAGTGGAGCAGGGAAGGCTGCCTAAAGCCTGTTAGACTCCACAAACCAGATTCTTCTTGCTTCATCTTTCACGAGAGACTTGAGTGATGTGACGTTGTCTAGGAATACTTACAGAATGAAGCAGCACTGTCTGTTTTTCATCATGAGATGGGATGTGAGGAGAAAGGAATTGTAGAAATAGTCTCTTTTTGTAATAATCTCAAGTATTTTGTTGACTCTGAAAAGTTATTGTTTACTTGGCGAAATAGAACTTGGGCCTTATACCTTAATTGCTCTGGTAGCTCCGTATATTTACTTAACACTTTGGTGGAATGTTAAGATGCCGCCTTAGGAGTGGGAGCTGAGAATTGCATTTCCTTAACAGCAATGTAGAGTAGCATATTTTTGACTTCAGTTGAAGTACTCGATGCCTTTATGATGCCTTTTTGCAAGACCAGGGCACTTGCTAAATCCTGATTAAACTTTTGAGTTAGTCAATGCTGCATAGTTGTTAATCTGTGTAGCGACGTAGTATAGTCACCCGAATGTGTGTGTAGAAGCACATATGTTGTGTGCACATATTCAAATATTCTTAAGGGAATGTTAATTTTTGTCATTCTTCCCATACCAGTAGGCAAGGAAGCAAACCTAAGATGAACGTTTAACTAATTGCAGTGCATGTTAATGTTGAGATGAACATATTCTGTAATGTATATTTCATTGTTTTTGTAGCATTTAATACGTAGCAGTGGGAAACTAATCCTCCTTGACAAGCTACTGATTCGTCTGCGAGAACGTGGCAACAGAGTTTTGATTTTCTCTCAGATGGTGAGGATGCTGGACATCCTAGCAGAGTATTTGAAGTATCGCCAGTTTCCCTTTCAAGTAAGAATTTTGCTAGTAGCAGCCAAGGAATTTATTCCCTCTCTTTCTTTTTCTTTTTCCTTCTTTTAATTTTTTTTCCTTTTTTCTTTTTGTAAAAAAAATCTGTATAAATTTATCTTTATGTACAGGAAGCCTGGCAATTGCTACATGCCAAATGAGGTTTTGAAATGGAGAGGATGGAAAAGGCAGTGTAAAATGCTACATAGCTGGGTTTTGTTTTCTGTGCAACTCAGAAATTGAAGTTGCTCTGATTAGAATATAGTATGATAATTCATTTCTAACTGTGGTATTAAATCTCTAGAGACTTGATGGATCGATAAAAGGGGAATTGAGGAAACAAGCACTGGATCATTTTAATGCAGAAGGATCAGAGGTATGGTATTAGTTGTGCGTTGGCAAATATATTAGTTGTGAATTAGTTGAGAATATATTCCGAAGAAATAAAACAGACCTAAAAACTGAAGGCTGAGAAAACTTATGGTTATAAAGTTGATATTTTTCTTGTTATTATCTAGAATATAATTTTTGCAACTCTTAGATTTTTTTTTTAAGGTGATGTTAAATAGGAACACAATTTGTGAAAATTATGTTTAATCAATCATTACAATCTTTTAATATTTTTAGTGCCCTTTATCACAGTAGTTGTAAGTACTGTATAAGCACTGAAAAATTTAGCTTCATAACTTGGTTGTTGAGTAGGACTTTATCCTGTGATTTTTACAAGAGCCTTAAACTCTTGGCAGTGGACAGAATTAAGTCACCATCTTGGGTGACACTCTGTCTTTCGATACCAGCATCTTTTGACTCTTAGTTCATTGCCCTCAAAGAGAATAGTGAAGTACTGATTGCTAGCCTACTTGTAAGGATTCAAGAAGCTACTTTCTTTTCTACATTGGAAGATTCCTAGTTTATTTAATATTCCTAATCATACCTGTGTCTTTGGCAAAAGGGGAAGGATAGCATTTGTCACTTATTGCTGAGCTTAAGTTTCCACTGTGCTTGAGTAGGAAGGACTTAACTTCATAACATTAGGCTGCAGATGTGTGTTAAATACAGAAGTTTTACATTCTAGTACAGACATCATTGCCTCTTTATGATGCCTTGCTAGTTCTCCTGTACAGCTTGTGAGATGAAGGGGGGAAATCAAGACTTCACACAGTATTCAAGAATGCAGACAAACTATGGATTTGTGCAGCAACATAATTGTCCGCTGTTTTATTCTCTGCTCTTTTCTTTCCTGAATAATTCATAACACTTTATTGTTTTTTGGCCATAACTGAACTGAGGTCTCCATGAGATATCTATCACAACACTGAGGACCAGTTCCTAAGCAGTAATGATTTGCTATTACCTCTTACTGTTTATTAGTTAATCAGTTACCTTTATGTTTAAGTGCCTTCCCTCCTATGCCATTAACGGTTTAGCTTTCTTTAAAAAAAGATGAGGAGTAACCGGCACCTACAAGACTTTAACGAGTAGGTTGTTTTGTACTTTTGACTGGTGTTTTGTTTGTTTTCCTACTTCCTCCACCCCTCACCCAGGTAGTTAATGCTTGTCTGTGGTGCTGCTTCCCTTAAACTATAGAGAAATAAATAGCTGGTCACAAGAGAAAGTGGTATTGGTGTTTACTTTATCCTTACAGAAACTTCAACTATTGAACAGATGTTTGATAGCATACGAGTTCAGTGTGCTTCACAGAACATACATATTAGTGTCATATTGGTTCCCTGAAGAATATTAGAACTAATACATATAAAGCTATTTCTTATTTTGTGATTTTTAGGACTTCTGCTTTTTACTGTCTACCAGAGCTGGAGGATTAGGTATAAACTTGGCATCTGCTGACACTGTGGTTATATTTGATTCTGACTGGAATCCACAGAACGATCTGCAAGCGCAGGCCAGAGCCCATAGGATTGGGCAGAAGAAACAGGTACATGCCATCGGTCTGCTTAGAGCTCTGAGCCCAGAGGAGGCTTCCTCACCAGGACCCTCTGCTTTGCATCTGGGGACAGTCTTCATGTGTTTTAAGAATAATTAATATTTGCTTAGTCTGTCTAAAAAATATTTACAGTACTCATCCAAATAGTTTAATTGTTTAAATCTGCCTGATGTGGAAGGCAGTATGACAGCTGTAAATGCATATGGATGGAAAGAGAGGAGAGTTATGGACCTCTCCCACATTCATCGATACCATGTCATTCTAGAAAGTAACTGCTCAGGCACATCCCCTCTACTTAAGTGAGGTGTTTTCTAGTTCATTCCTGACTCTTCTTGCAGAAGACATCAAGCAGTGTATCAGAGGAATGACGTTTGTCTATGGCCATGCTTTTGCATAATCTTTGCAGTTTATAGAAGAGAGGTCTAAATTTTTTTTTTTTAATGGAATATGCAGAGACTATAGTAGCGTGATTGAACAAGTATTTCATAAATCAAACCAGTTAAAAAAAATTAGGAAGAGTCGTAATCAAGGCTGACATATTTCCTTATGGTTCCTTAAGGCATTTTTTGTTATCTTGGTAACTTTTTTTCTGATATTGTTTTCAAAGTGTAACTAGAGAACAATATGAATAGAGTTGTTTTTTTTAATATACATAGGTTAATATTTATCGGCTAGTCACAAAAGGATCAGTAGAAGAAGATATTCTTGAAAGAGCCAAGAAGAAGATGGTGTTAGATCACTTAGTAATTCAGAGAATGGACACTACAGGGAAAACTGTGCTACATACAGGGTCTACTCCTTCAAGGTATATTCTAATGTTCTTCCATATAAGCTTACCCTTAAGTATATTTAACAGGCAGGTAAAAATGCAAGTTGTTTGAGCTTGTTAATGCGAGGGAAAAAATGTGTAGTAAGGATGTGCAAAGTATATTGTTTTGCGCATCTTTATATATTAAATGCAGCATTTATTTTTAAGGGAAGTAGATGCTTGGTTGTTTCATGATTATAGTTATTTGAAAATAAAATCTCTAAGGTGTTCTTCTGAAATTCCTGTATTTCAGCTCAACACCCTTTAATAAGGAAGAGTTATCAGCAATTTTGAAGTTTGGTGCTGAGGAACTTTTTAAAGAACCTGAAGGGGAAGAGCAAGAGCCCCAGGTAAATGAAACTGTGCTTCTACACTTCATGGGTATAACCACGAGAGATATCTATGAATTATTTTGTTATAAAGAGAAACTTGCTCTGTTTCAGGAAATGGATATAGATGAGATCTTGAAGAGGGCTGAAACACGGGAAAATGAGCCAGGCCCATTAACTGTAGGAGATGAGCTGCTTTCACAGTTCAAGGTAGTGCTGTGATTACTGCCTCCCATAATTACACTTCCCTTTATAAATACTACTGTTTCCCTTTGCCTACCTTTCCATCTTTCCTTGTTCTTATGAAACAGATACCACAATAAGTTAACACTGTATCTTTTTTTTTTTTTGTATAAAATGCATTTTCATCTATACAGAATAGTTACCATCAGAAAAATATGTTTCAAAATGCATAATATATGTTGCTAAAAGAAAATATATATATATTTACAAATGTACTCATCGTTGATTTAACAATTAAAATTCTAGGAAGGGTTGTTTTTTACTTAGTGCTCAAAAGCATCTGTGTTGCTTTTGGAAAATAAAACACAAATTTGGGTTGCTTGGTTGATAAGTGAGAAATTCCTTTCAGTCCCCAAAATTCAGTAAACTTGAATTCTAGATATTTTAATTGTTGTCCAATGATATATATTATAAAGTGTGCCCAAATTGGTTTGTTTTGCTTGTAAAAGTGAAGAGAAGCATTTTTTTCTTTAGTTC